CTGCAACTAGAGAAAGCCCATACACAGCAATGAAGACCCAACACAGCCAAAAATAAATAAGTAAACTTTTTAAAAAAGAATAAAATACAGTACAAATCAACGTATCTATGAAACAAAAACAGACTCACAGATATAGAGAACAGACTTGTGGTTGCCAAGGCGGGGTGGGTAGGGGAGGGAAGGAATGGGAGTTTGGGATTAGCAGAGGCAAAGTATTATATATAGGATGGATAAACAACAAGGTCCTGCTGTATAGCACAGGGAACTATATTCAATATTCTGTGACAAACCACAAAAGAATATGAAAAATAATATATATATGTATATAACTGAGTCACTTTGTTGTACACCAGAAATTAATACAACATTGTAAATCAACTATACTTCAATAAGCTTTATATAAAAAAAAATAAAAGTCATTACAAACCTTGCCTCTTCGAGAAGAATATACTATCCAGACTTTTTTTTTTTTTCTTGCGGTACGCGGGCCTCTCACTGTTGTGGCTTCTCCCGTTGCGGAGCACAGGCTCCGGACGCGCAGGCTCAGCGGCCATGGCTCACGGGCCCAGCCGCTCCGTAGCACGTGGGATCTTTCCGGACTGGGGCACGAACTCGTGTCCCCTGCATCGGCAGGCGGACTCTCAACCACTGCGCCACGAGGGGAAGCCCTATCCAGACTTTCATTACTGAACTCAATTTGTCTTTTGGGCTATAACATTCAAGAGCCTCTGATTTTTTTCATAACAATAGCTAGTATTTATTGAGCACTTAGCAAGTATACTAAACACTTCACATAATCCTCACAACTTCTCTAAGGAGTGTGGGAGAAAAGTGAAGGACCTTGGGACAAGGCCCTAGAGATGAAACCAGAGCCTGAAAACTGTTACGTTTTCTTTCATTCATTCAGCATATTTATTAAGCATCACTGTCCTCATGTCTGTTAGGTACCAGAGGTACAGCCTTAAAGAACTCTTGACAGAGGGACTTCCCTGGTGTCGCAGTGGTTAAGATTCCGAGCTCCCAATGTAAGGGGCCAGGATTCGATCCCTGGTCAGGGAACTAGATCCCACATGCATGCCGCAATTAAGAGTCTGCATGCCACAACTAAGGAGGCCTCCTGCCGCAACGAAGACCCAGTGCAACCAAATACGTAAATTAAAAAAAAAAAGTTGACAGAATCCCAGCCTAACAGAGAAGACAGACAATAAACAAGTGAAGAAATAAACAAGATAAATACTACAAATTGTGAAGAGAGCTCTCATATACATCACATATAGGATGGTGTAACAGAGGCAGGGAGGGCTTTTCTGTGTGACATTCAAGCTGAAATAGAAGAATGAAGAAGCCACAACTCTGCAGAAAGTTGGGGGAAGAGCACTTTGGGCTGAGCAAACAGCAAGACCAAATAGCTTGAGACAAAAAGCATGCAGACAAAGTAACTTGATAAATCCTAAGAAAAGATTAGGGCTCCCTGTGGATGGGGTCTGAGAACTAGAAAGATAAGACTGGGAAAGCAGGGACTTCCCTGGTGGCGCAGTGGTTAAGAATCCATCTGCCAATGCAGGGGACACAGGTTCGATCCGTGGTCTAGGAAGATTCCACATGCCACAGAGCAACTAAGCTCGTGTGCCACAACTACTGAGCCCACGCACCGCAACTACTGAAGCCCACACGCTCTAGGGCCCGTGTGTCACAACTACTGAGCCCGCGTGCTGCAACTACGGAAGCCCATGCACCTAGAGCCTGTGGTCTGCAACAAGAGAAGCCACTGCAATGAGAATCCCGTGCAGTGCAATGAAGACCCAACAAAGCCAAAAAAAAAAAGATACACTTTGGAGGTAGAACTGATTTTTTGATTTCGTGCAGAGGATAAATCCTTGTTGTTGTTAACTATATGATGCTATTTATCATGCTGGGGAACACTGGAAGGAACAGGATAGGTTGATAAAATCATGAGCATGAGCTGATATGCCAGCTAGACCTCCAAATGTAGGTGTCTAATAAGTAGTTGGATAAGTTGGGAGCTCAGAGGAGAGCTCTATCCTACCATGGTAATAAAATGTAAAAATTGTTAACATTTAGGGCTTTCCCTGGTGGTCCAGTGGCTAAGACTTCGTGCTCCCAATGCAGGGGTTCGATCCCTGGTCGGGGAACTAGACCCCCACATGCTGCAACTAAGACCTGGTGCAGCCACATATATAAATAAATAAATATTTTTTAAAAAAGATTATTAACATTTAGATGGTGTTTGAAGTGTTGAAGAGACTAGATAAGAGAACCTAGTTGTTAAAGCGGGCCCAGAACTGAGCTCTGAAATATCTCATCATTTAGGGGTTCTAAGATGGAGAAGTCAGCAAAGGAGACAGGACACTTAGGCAAGAGGAAAATCACAAGGGTGTGGTGTCACAGAGCCCAGTAAGAAAAGTGTTTCATGAAAGACAGAGTACCACCTATTTCGAATGCTGCTAACAGGTAAAAAGAGACAGTATAGAGAACTGTTTATTGGATTTGGCAACATGTGGCTTATTGGTATCCTTGAGTTGGATTGAAGTTGGATTGAAGAGGAAACAGAGGTGAGGATATGGAGACCTCTAGTGTGGGCAATTTGTTTTAGTATTGTTAGTATTGTTTAGTATTGTTGCAAAGAGGAGTGAAGAAATGAGACGACTGGGTAAAAGGGAGGGTTTGTTTATTTTTAAGATGGAAGTGATTCAGTAGAAGTAACTCATGCTACAGCAAGGAAAAATCCTTGAGAAGGTATGGGGGTGGTGGTGTGGGATCCACAGCACTGGGGGTGGGGGTTTGCCCTTTGGTAGGGGCAGAGACACATCTTTCATGGTACCAGGAAGTCAGAGATAATGGGTGCAGATGCAAGTAGGCTCGTAGCTCCTAGTTGGATGAGAATGTTCCTGATTTTTGTTTTCTCAAAGAACTATGAGAAGTCATTATTTATGGTAGAGTGAGAGAAGAGGGTGTAGGAGTTTGAACAGAGAAAGCATGAAATACACTATCCCTGGAAGTGGGAAAGTGAACTTACTAGAGAAATTCAGTAAGATTGCCAGGGAAAGTCTAATGCCCTTTTCTGGTCCGTGGTCAAAATTTAAAGTGAAAGCCTGAGCCCTTGTTAAAGAAGATGAATTCTTTGGTCCAACCAGAATTGGGGTTTTACCAGGTGAGTATATGGGGAAAGAGAAAAACAAGAGTTGTGGCAATCGTAACATCTAAACTGGGTTAACACAAGTTATGAATATAAAAATGTGAGAGAGAGTGAAAAAGTCATACATTTAATGGTTTGGCGTTTTGTTTGTTGTTTTTTGCTTTTGGCCACGCAGCCTGTGGGATCTTAATTCCTCGACCAGGGATCTAACCCATGCCCCCTAAAGTGGGAGCATGGAGTCTTAACCACTGGACCGCTAGGTGAGTCCCAGTTTGGAGGTTTTGACGAAGCCAAAGAATCAAAGTTACTAAGTTAGTTGGGATGCCTGAAATAGAGATTTTTTTAGGGATGTTATTCCTGGCAATAACAAACAGGAATAACTATATATGATGTGGCTGGGGTGGCTGACATAGGATGGAGGGAAAGATTGTTGGAGGTGAGTAGGTAAAGGATTAACAGAGTATTGGGTGGTCATCCACACAGATGTTAAATGATGTACAGAAGTAGAAAGAAAGACAATGAGCCATGAGCTAGTATTAACTGAGGGAGGAATGATCCACCCAAAGGTCCATAGATGACACTAACTAGGAGAGGTATTAAGGGAAATGGCTCATGCACTTCAAAGTAGTTGGAGATTTTGAAGTAAGAAGGATGCTGTCCATTTGTTGATTCCATATATGTATATATATTTAAAATAAATTTATTAATTTTATTTATTTTTGGCTGCGTTGGGTCTTCGGTGCTGCGTGCAGGCTTTCTCTAGTTGTGGTGAGTGGGGTCTACTCTTTGTTGTGGTGTGCGGGCTTCTCACTGCGATGGCTTCTCTTGTTGTGGAGCACAGGCGCTAGGCGGGCAGGCTTCAGTAGTCGCACGCGGGCTCAGTAGTTGTGGCACAGAGGCTTAGCTGCCCCGCGGCATGTGGGATCTTCCCGGACCAGGGCTCGAACCTGTGTCCCCTGCATTGGCAGGCGGATTCTTAACCACTATGCCACCAGGGAAGCCCCATATATATATATTTTTGAATTTTATTATTTTTTTATTCAGCAGGTTCTTATTAGTTATCCATTTTATACATATTAGTGTATATATGTCAATCCCAATCTCCCAATTCTAGATATTTTAATATTGTAGTTTTAAAGTATCTTAATCTGTTCATAAAGTGTTTTGAGGTAGCAGAATTTAGAAAAATGTTAAATTGTTTCTGTGATTCGTGTTTGTAAATTACTAGTCTATATACACACACACAAAATCAAGGCCTTTCTCTTTTAACAAAGAGGGCACTGAAGCTTGAGAAATTTGTACTGCTAGACCAAACCAGTACTCCAATGAGGTTCCAAAATGAAATCAGTAAGATGGTGTGTGTGAAATCGGTTAAGATTTTATTTCTCTAATTTTATTGGCCCAGCACGAGGCGGAAGAGATAGCAGGCACTTCATTTATGCTTTTGAACCAGAGACTGCTGTTCTTTCTGGGGAAGGATACCAGCAGGCTGCTCCTAAGAGCAATCAAGAAAGAAAGGAGCCTTCTAACATCTCTCCCTAGGAGCTGCTGATAGGGCCCTGGCTATTTGCTTTCACGGGAAAATTGCTCTGGCGAACCCATTCAAATATCTCCCAGCAAATCACTGTGGCCTACAGCCAACTCCTTTTCCGCTCATTGGCCGACTGGAAACTTCAACCACTCCACGCCTCCCGCCTCTCATCGGGAGCCAATAGGAAAGATTAGTTTTTCGTAACTTAGCGTCATCAAGTACAGTACTTGCAACTGGCTTTTGGAGCTACAGATCGAGAAGTAGGCGGGGCCGTGCCAGCCGGCCTATATAAGAAGAGGACAAAGGCGGCGCGCCGCCTGTGTCATCCGCCATCTTGTGCGAAGCAAGGTGGCCTCCACGTTCCCTGAACGTCTTCTTCGCTTCTGCCTCGACCGCCCCTTGATCACAGACATGTCTCGGGACCGGTTCCGAAGTCGGGGCGGTGGCGGTGGCGGTTTCCACCGACGCGGAGGGGGAGGCGGCCGCGGCGGCCTCCACGATTTCCGCTCCCCGCCACCCGGCATGGGCCTCAATCAGAACCGCGGACCTTTGGGGCCCGGCCCGGGCCAGGGTGGCCCCAAGCCTCCGATCCCGCCACCGCCTCCACACCAGCAACAGCAGCAACCACCGCCGCAGCAGCCGCCACCACAGCAGCCGCCGCCGCTTCAGCCGCCGCCGCACCAGCCGCCGCACCCGCAGCCGCCGCATCAGCCGCCGCCGCCGCCACAGGACTCATCTAAGCCTGCCGTCCCTCAGGGACCCGGCCCGGCTCCCGGAGTAGGCAGCGCTCCCCCGGCCTCCGGCTCGGCGCCGCCCGCCACACCCCCGACTTCGGGGGCCCCCACGGGGCCAGGCCCCACCCCGACCCCACCGCCCGCTGTCACCTCGGCGCCCCCCGGGGCGCCCCCGCCCGCGCCGCCGAGCAGCGGGGTCCCCACCACCCCCCCTCAGGCTGGCGGCCCGCCGCCTCCACCCGCGGGGGGCCCGGGCCCCGGGCCTAAGCAGGGCCCAGGAGCCGGCGGCCCCAAAGGCGGCAAAATGCCAGGCGGGCCGAAGCCCGGCGGCGGCCCGGGCCTAAGCACTCCTGGCGGCCACCCCAAGCCGCCGCACCGAGGCGGCGGGGAGCCCCGCGGGGGCCGGCAACACCACCCGCCCTACCACCAGCAGCACCACCAAGGGCTGCCGCCCGGCGGGCCCGGGGGCCGCAGCGAGGAGAAGATCTCTGACTCCGAGGTGAGTGTCTCCCTGCGTTACGGGTCGGTTTTCCTAAGATGGCGGCGGCCCCCCCCTTCCGCCCTCCATTTTGTTGGAGACCGGAAAAGGCGCCTGCGCGCGGGGGTGGGGGGGCGGGGCCGGCTGCTGGAGTGAGGGGCGGACGGCTCGGGTTTGCCAGCTGCCCCCCCCCCCCCGCCCCGGGTTAGGCCTCCCGGCTGGCGGAGAACTGACGGAAGGAGGCGCTGAGAAGCTATGATGGGCTTTGTTAAAGCTAGTGGATCCTGGGAGCCAGAATAGGGTGGAGTACAGCGTGAAATATAGGATTGGAGAGATCGAGGTAGTCCTGGTCTTACACGCGCAGGCCCAGGGCTTGTCGACAACGGAATTTTGGTCGTTTTCTTTGTTTCATATCCCACCACCATTTTAACTTTTGCCTACTATGATTTTGATTTTGACACTAAACCGCTGACGAGGTTCCTGATATAGAGTCTACTCTATAGAGAGGTTTGTGGCTGTTCTCGAGAGTGTTCTGGATGGTTTAGGCTCTTTGATGTTCGGACTAATTACATTGGAAATCCCGTAAATGTAATAGCATCTTTGACTTTAAATGGAACAGGAGAGCAACTTGACTGTAACATACCCAGTTTGGGAAAAACGAAAATTATTATTGGGTCTTCCTATTTGCAGAGGTAACTGGTATCTGAAAATTCCTTTCCTTTTTCACTAGGGGTTTAAAGCCAACTTGTCTCTCTTGAGGAGGCCTGGAGAAAAAACTTACACGCAGCGTTGTCGGTTGTTTGTTGGTAATCTACCTGCTGATATCACGGAGGATGAGTTCAAAAGATTATTTGCTAAATATGGAGAACCAGGAGAAGTTTTTATCAACAAAGGCAAAGGATTTGGATTTATTAAGCTTGTGAGTTTTTTTGTTTTTGTTTGTTTGTTTTGGGTGGAATTAAAAGGGTCTTTTTTTCCTACAACAAACATAGTGTTTTTTAAACCAACAAGAATAAATTAGTTTTTAAATTTTTCATCACTCACACAAAAGTTGCAGCTGCTGTACAGTGCATAATTGTTGGTATCTAAGAAAGGAAGTGAGTGGGTGGGTAAGGTATTTACCTCCCTCCCCTGAATGGTGTCAGGGTGGGCTGCCTGGAGATAGTTGAGCTGAGAGCTGTCAGAAGAATAGGATCAGGAGTTAGGCTTATGGCAATTTTAGGGTGGGCAGTAGCCAGTTTTGAGGTCATTAACGTGACTGTATGTCTTGATGCTTTCAGGAATCTAGAGCATTAGCTGAAATTGCTAAAGCTGAACTTGATGATACACCCATGAGAGGTAGACAGCTTCGGGTTCGATTTGCCACACATGCTGCTGCCCTTTCTGTTCGAAATCTTTCACCTTATGTTTCCAATGAACTGTTGGAAGAAGCCTTTAGTCAGTTTGGTCCTATTGAAAGGGCTGTTGTAATTGTGGATGATCGTGGAAGATCTACAGGGAAAGGCATTGTTGAATTTGCTTCTAAACCAGCAGCAAGAAAAGCATTTGAAAGATGCAGTGAAGGTGTTTTCTTACTAACAACGTAAGTTTTTATGTTTATTCGAATAACTTTTATTTATTAACTTGTATGAAGAAAATGCAATGAAACTGGAACAAAATTAAGATGGAACCATTTTTGTTGCTAGAACTCCTCGTCCAGTCATTGTGGAACCCCTTGAACAGTTAGATGATGAAGATGGTCTTCCTGAAAAACTTGCACAGAAGAATCCAATGTATCAAAAGTAAGATCTGTTGAACTTTTGGGCAGTTCTTAATTTAAATGTAAACGAGAACTTGCTAGAGTAATTTTTCAATTTTGCTTAAAATATGCAAAGTTCTTTGAAATGGATGGGCATAATGAAAACCTCAGGCTCAGAAAGCTAGAGGTTTTGAAGCAGTTACTCAAATACCTAGTGTTGTTTCTGAGGTAGGTATATTTCACATGCATTCTTGTTTTGTTCTTAATGGTTGTTAGGATGTGTTGTAGGGATCCTCTTTTTTTTTTAATTAATTTATTTTTGTCTGCGTTGGGTCTTCGTTGCTGCATGCAGGTTTTCTCCAGTTGCGGCGAGTGGGGGCTGCTCTTTGTTGCGGTGCGTGGGCTTCACATTGTGGTGACTTCTCTTGTTGTGGAGCAGAGGCTCTAGGTGCACAGGCTTCAGTAGTTGTGGCACACGGGTGCTAGAGCGCAGGCTCAGTAGTTGAGGTGCACGGGCTTAGGTGCTCCGCGGCATGTGGGATCTTCCCGGACCAGGGCTTGAACCTGTTTCCCCTGCGTTAGCAGGCGGGTTCTTAACCAGTGTGCCACCAGGGAAGCCCGGTATCCTCATTTTTAAGGGTTGAAAAAATATTCCTTGAATCAGAATTTGGCTAGGGAAATGAGTTAGAAAGTGAGGAAGGTAGGATTTATCTTCAGTGCCCATGTTACTGTTGACTATGTCGTTCTGGAACATGTATTGTTTTTGCTGTAAAAATACCTTATTAAGAATCAAGGTGATCTGTACCTTTCAGTATTTCTTAGCAGTAACAGGCCAGTGAAGTGACCAGTGTTTTTAGGGGAAATCAGATATATTTCTTGTGTGCATCTATAAATTGGTTCATATTTAAATATTGTCAGGGAGAGAGAAACCCCTCCTCGTTTTGCCCAGCATGGCACATTTGAGTATGAGTATTCTCAGAGGTGGAAGTCCCTGGATGAAATGGAAAAACAGCAGCGGGAACAAGTTGAAAAAAACATGAAAGATGCAAAGGACAAATTGGAAAGTGAAATGGAAGATGCCTATCATGAGCATCAGGCAAATCTTTTGCGTCAAGGTAAAGGACTCTCTGTGAAATATTACCGTTAGGGTCGTTTGCCTTTTGAACTTACTAGAATTTCATTAACATGAATGTATGACAAAATTTTCCAATGTTCAGATCTGATGAGACGCCAGGAAGAATTAAGACGCATGGAAGAACTTCACAATCAAGAAATGCAGAAACGTAAAGAGATGCAATTAAGGTAAAATCTTGTTAAATTAAGTCTTTGCTTCTGCATTAAATGCACCTAAATTTTGCAGGTGAGTCAGATGAAATACAGAGGTGTTAAATACTATGGCAGCTTTGGTTTAATGCTTAAATTGAAATAGAGTGTAAGATTTTTGTTATAAGGCTCACTTACTTTGCTGAAATACCTTTAGGGCTCTTCTTAGTCACTGTCCCAGCCTTTGTGTGTATTTGCTCTAACCTAGACTTTGTAATGCTCTTAAGCAAACTACTAGTTTTTTTCAAATTGAATTTTTAAAATGTGGATAAAACTTTAGTTTTTATGTTTGATGAATGTTTCTAGGCAAGAGGAGGAACGACGTAGGAGGGAAGAAGAGATGATGATTCGTCAACGTGAGATGGAAGAACAAATGAGACGCCAAAGAGAGGAAAGTTATAGCCGGATGGGCTACATGGATCCGGTAAGTAAACTTCTTTTGCAGTATAATTGGAGTTTTCTACAAAGTTTGTAGACATCTAGGATGAAATTTTATTCAGTTAAATATAACCTTTCATATTATAGCTATTCTGCCATTTTTTCTCTTTTTAACCCAGGTGGTGTATTATGGTTGATACGCCTTTTCCTTTGAGTTTATTTTTTCGTTGGGTGGGCCAAAAGATTTCATTCGTTGGGAAGAAGCTTGCTTTATAGGTCTTTTGATGATGGAGTCTCACCTGGTTTCAGAATACTGATTTTTAAAATTACCTTATTGTTGTTTTCCCTTAAGTTGAAAAACAATTTTTTTTTAAGCTTTGGAAATTCTTTTGTATTCAAGAATGCTTGGTATGGGTTTAGTACGGGTGTATGAACGGGTTTTTTTTCTTTCAGAGAGAAAGAGACATGAGAATGGGTGGTGGAGGAGCAATGAACATGGGAGGTAAGAATGAAAATTAAATTAGTAATACCACTGAAGAGCAGTATTCTGGTTGAGTTGTAACCAGCATTTTTGTTTCCTAGATCCCTATGGTTCAGGAGGCCAGAAATTTCCACCTCTAGGTGGTGGTGGTGGCATAGGTTATGAAGCTAATCCTGGAGTTCCACCGGCAACAATGAGTGGTTCCATGATGGGAAGCGACATGGTAATGTATCCCGTGGGACATAGTTCAAAAGGAAATTCTCGTTTTCACAACTTATGTGTGTGTGTTTTTTTGTTTTTGTTTTTGTTTTTAAGTAGATGACTGGACCTCTTTTAGTTCCCCTATCATGTAAATCGTAGTATTAAGGAATACTTTGGCAACATAGAAGAACTCAATGTGGTAACCTAAACAGATAAGGTTGCCAACAAAAAATCAATGCTTTTAGTAGTATGTTGGAATTATCTTTGGCAATAAGTAGACTTAGGTGCTTTCCATTATATTGCTTGTGTACTTTTGCACTATAGCTCATGGCAAATCCAAATTCTAAATGTTAGATAATGTAACATTATTCTACATCCACGTGAGAGTAATCAAATGGCAAGCTGTCATTCGTTAAGCTGGTATTTGCCAAAAGTGTGAATCAGACTTGTTTGTAGCTTTAGGCATGTTTTAGCAATGTGTAGGACTTTGACCTATATTTGGTGTGACTTCTACCCATGAAAAAGGAATTGTTTAGTCTTCGGACTCGTCGTTTCCCACCTGTTGGGCCTGTCTATAGGTGTACCTTCTAAAATAAACTGACATCTCTGTTTTGCTACAGGGTAGCAAAAGTCAATGATAATTTTAAGCATACTAGTTGTGTGCATTTGATCTGAACCTTCTTGATGCTGTCATATTTTAGCTGTACAGGTAGTCTGTCAGGATACTTTAGAACAACCAAGTGAGTTGGTCTGAGTGGCTGTATTAGGACTTTACAATCCTTAGAAGAACTGAGTATTGGCTGTAGAGGTGGGTTTGGAGAAAAGTACATTGTCACAACTGAATTGAATCTGATTAGTTCACCTACAGGCTTTTGGCAAAGGAGGGAAGCTGCAGCATATAGCTCACTAGATACATTTTACAAATAAGAACATAAGGATTTAGAATGGGGCCTCATCTATTTAAACTCTGCTTAAGGCTTTTGAGAATTATAAGTAGCCGGTTGGGTTAAACGTAGTGCTGTTAGCTTTCTTCAAATTGAATTTTAAAAATAATGTGGGTAACATTTTGGTTTATATCCTTCTTAATAGGCAGGTGTAGGTATGTATCAAATTTGTAACTGTAATTTGACATGATGTTCCCACAGTTCAGATTCTGTAGTCCATGGGACATGTAGCTCCTGGGTTCTAAGATACTGTAATAACATAATTGTAAAACCCCCAAATTTCCTCTTTACCTTTTTGAGATAAAACATACAATACAACGCGCTGAAAACCTAAGAATTTTAGGATTTTGAAATAGTTTGAAGGATTAGGATTTAGTATTTTTATAGTAACCCTGTAGTATTTTGTAGGAAGCATGCTGAAATCATTTATAGGAACATTTAAACCCTGATGCCGTTTTAGTTTCTGGGGGGTTTTTGTTCTGGTTTTCGGGTTTTGTTTTGTTTTTTTCCTAGCAATACTCAGAATAACTGGTCTGTTTTAAATAGAATTTGAAAGATAGTTCAGGCTGCTGTGCTTTTGCATATCTGTAGGGTTTTTCTGTTTGGGAACATAGGTTTCTAGGACTAGAAGTACCTAAAACTAGATGGAATAATGAAGTCCTGCTTTATTGCAGTCACTTAAGCTTGGTGTTAATGCTGTTTGGGAGACACCCAAAACACGGAATCGTAACTGTCAGTGGACTTTTTACAGACCTAAAGGGAAAGTTGGGCTGTTACGAGGGTGGGCTGTATATTCAGTCAATTTGCAACTGTAGAGAACAGTACTGTGAACATAATTGTCTCTGGTTATACAGTGATGGCTCTGAAAGTGGTATACCTGTGAGAATATGGCAACACACTTTTAAATCAAGTTACTGTGCCGGTTAAGTGACTAAATCTATTAGTCTTTTATTCTTTTTCTTTTTGTAGTCTGGTAGCATTTTATTAAAACTTTGAACCTTTTAAGATTTCTGCAACTTAGCAGATGTGTCTTAAGATCTTGAAAAGCACAAGGTTTCTTACGCAGCACATACCACTAACTGGTGAGTAGGTCTTTGTCACTTCATTGAGTGAATTGAATCTGTCTGGTTGGGCTTGTTAGGCTTACTTGGAAATTAAATTTCCTGTTCAGACCTTGAAAGTGAGAAGTGTGTAAGCTTTTCAGTGGGTTAATCTGATGTGAAATTTCTTAAAACTCATTTTGGAATGGGTTTTCACATCTGCACTAATTCTTAAATTTTTTAGCACTACAGGGAAGATCTATTCTTTGAAACAGGTGTATGAGAATGGCTCAAGTGGGAACATACCACAAGGCATGTATTATCGTAAACTAATTTTCAAATTACCCTTTTTTCCTTTCTATGTTCCCGGTACCTGTGGATCGACTCATTGGTGATTGTATCGACGAACGTTGACTACGGAACCTTCTAAAATATTTACTTAACACACATGGACATCAACTACATATAATGAACTGTTACTTAACTGTTCCAATAGCGTACTGAGCGCTTTGGGCAGGGAGGTGCGGGACCTGTGGGTGGACAGGGTCCTAGAGGAATGGGGCCTGGAACTCCGGCAGGGTATGGTAGAGGGAGAGAAGAGTATGAAGGCCCAAACAAAAAACCCCGATTTTAGATGTGATATCTAGGCTTTCATTCCAGTTTGTTTTTGTCTTTTCTTGTTTAGATAGCAATCTTTTAAATTCTTGCATTTTAGTAAGAAAGCTACCTTTTTATGGATGTTAGCAGTTTATTGACCTAATATTTGTAAATGGTCTGTTTGGGCAGGTAAAATTATGTAATGCAGTGTTTGAAACAGGGGAATTTTTTTTTCCTTTTTTTCCTTTTTTTTTTTTTTTAACTGTATAATGTCCCTCAATTTATGGCAGTGTACCTTGTGCCACTGATTTCCAAAGTGTACCAATTTTTTTTTTTTACTGTGCTTCAAATAAATAGAAAAAATAGTTAAGATTTTGATCTTCAACTTTGCCATTCATGCTTCTATGCACATTAGGCTAGGTGTTCCACTTGGAAAGCATAAGAGTGTCTAGGCCTTTGAATGGCATATGCCATTTCTGGGAAATGTATTTGTAGGCTAAGTATTGCTTTCTACATTTAAGTACCCCCTTGTTTTAAAAAGAAGAAATGCATATTGAATAGTTTCATGATTTGATTTGTTTGGCATTATAGGAAGCAAGCCGGTGCTAAGTATTTTCAAATGGCTATGTAAGCAAAGCTGAACTGTAAATCTTCATTCAGGAATGTGTATTAAGATTATGGAATGGGTGGAAGACTATTGGTAGGGGGAGAAAGTGGGTATGACTTAAATGGATCTTTTATGGCCCTATGATCTATCCTTTCCTTGAAAGTTTCTGAAGAACAAGTGGAAAGATCATTTTGTTGCATTCCTCCATTCTTGTTTTTTAAAGAACGAGTCCCAAGCCCTATGAACGGCTTGTATTGAACATTCACATATGAATTAAAGATTGTTAAACATGAAGTCTTTTCATGTATTACTTCAAGTGATTTATAAAGATGGGGTTTAGTCTGAATAATTAAACTCGAAAGTAAGGTATAGTCATCATAAAGTAGGTTTGGCTATGTATACATTTGTACTCTAACTTTTACATCTCCTTGTGGTACTTCTGTTGGGCAAAAATCTGTAGGACTATAAAAAAAACTCATTTTCTTTTCTAAGAGCTGGTAGTGACTTAATAACAAATAGGGTTGCAGAGAACTGTACTTACTGTGAAATATTTTTAACCTGTTTTTCCATAGTTTCCTTTTGATGTAGCACTAAATCTGGAGAGTTGCTTGTGCTACACAGTACAAATATCCCTTCCTCCCATCATAAAGCTTTGGAGCTTTTCGATGGTGTTGTCAGTTTATTGTCAACTTCATTGAATCTCCTTTCATTAGAGACATTTTGACTTATTAATAAAATAGATCGTTACTGTTGTCTGTTAGTACAATGGGAACCTGCTTTCCCATGTTTATATTGTTAGCAGAGGAATAACTTCCTAAAAGTAGTAGGTAAGGTAACTGAATGGTTTGGCTTTGTTCTTAGTTATGTTTCCATTCAAATTTGTACATTATAGAACTCTTACTATGGAATGTGTCTTCCTCCTTTTCACCTCTGTTGGTGTTAATTGGCAAAAGTAAAATTCTAAACCAAATCTTTGTTTAAATACTGAAGGCTTAGTATTGTGCCTGAGTACAAAGGGAAACCTGTTGTTGAAACAATTGAGCACTCGTGCATAGGGAACCTGTTAATACTAAAAGTAAAACACTAGTGGAGTATAAAGGCATGCCACCGAATTCTGGTTGTGTGACTGACAGGTACCTGGTGTGCTAATTAAGGGAGAGAATCTCATTAGAAAATGTTCATTATTTCTGTTCACCAAGACACTTGGAAATGAGTAGTTCTACCAGAATTATATCAATGAGGAAGTTTTGTCCCAAGTCAAGTTATTAATTGGTGATAATGTATGAGATTTTCTGTACCGGAAACAAGGGTCTTGATTTGAAAGGAGTCCATTACAATTTGATTGAATTGTATGGTAGGGAGTCCACTAATGATAAGAAAATAAGGGGTGTTCATGGGACACCCACAGAGGGTGAACTTGAATGTGTGGGCGGGGGCTGGTGGGGAAATGGAAAAATCTGCCTATAAAATTAATGTTTCAGTTTATTTTTCAGATTACATGCCTTTCTTTATAAGGGATGCTGGCACAGACCCCTAAAATAAGCTTTTGGTAGTACTGTACCTTTGAAGAGTGGTGAAGGATGCTAATGGATAATCTCCTGAAAGTTGTGGTTTTGATAGCCTTATTGTGTAGAATTGCTAAACGTTGTTTAGCAAGTAATGTTGCTTAGTTTCAACTAAGTTTTGACTTTAATCACTGAAACAGCAGCGTACCAAGGGTCGTAAGCTACTCAAATAGACTTTCAACAAGTCTTGGAATGTATATGATAGTTTTTAGCCTAATGGGAATTTGAATCATCTTTAAAAGTAGATTCCTAAAAGCTGATTTATGAAACTTGGGGTGGGAAAGGGAAAGTAGTACTTTAGAAGTATTTTAGCCATTTTTCTCATTTAAAGAAGCCACCTGCCCCCGTTTCCTCTTCTCCACTTTCTCTCATAATTTTGTTTTAAGAGGAACACTGATTGTTTTTAAACTTATTACTCTTCTTATAATTCCTAATCTTTAAAAACTGCATTCTCTGAGAGATCCCAGTGTATTTAATAGGTGTTTTAGAAACTTAACCCATTGGCTCAACGTTTAGTGAAACCATAATCCTCTTTGCTTAGATAAACTTCTAAGAAATACTATAAGCCCCACCACTCTTTATTAGATGTATTATACCACTAATATAAACATAATAATTTGGGAAATTGTAATGTTACGCCTGTGCAATTTTTATAAGTGGCATATTATGGCAGATAAAAATTTAGATACTTGGCTTTTCTTGGGCAAGCCACTAAGTTGTGGCGGAATATTTTCTGGTGTTCTTGGACTGCAATTATGCACTATTAAAGTAGTCGCCTGCTACATAACTGCATTTAGCCAGCATTTCTGCAGTGCGTAACTGTGAGGAACGTAGTACCGCAAATGGCAATGGACATTAGGACCCGGATGTAGTATTCCTGCTTGCTCCGAGATTCTCATTGCCGACTGCATACAGGTAGGTAACAAGCAATATAATCTAACTTGGTGACTTGCTATGTACTTTTATTCCGTGGGCATTCTGACATCATACTTCTGACAATGAAATTACAGTGCAGCACCTAACACCTGTATGATAAAGCTAGCTTATATCAAAACTGCGTGGGTTTGGGTTTAGAGCTGTAATTTGTCAGGCAGAATTCAGTGCTGTTGCAGTTCTCAGATAAAAAGTGCAAACTTGATTATTTGGTATATCTGATTCAGTTGTGTGGTTTTTAGTTGCATTGTAACTGAAGATAACATGAAACACATCAGTGGTGTGGGGGAGGGGACCATACCATACTTCGGAAGTAAGAGTGCTTTTTAAGCATCTCGACACAGACTGTATAGCATGTGATAATTAGTTTCTGTTGTAGCAAACTGACCTGCTCATAGGTCAGCAATATCAGTTTGAGTGTAATCTTGGTAATTACTCTGCAGGTTGAGTGAATTAAGACTAAAAGTACAGTTTTTTTTGTAATGTGATTTAAAAATTTTTTTAAATGGGCTCCATCGGAACACCTCTGTTACTAACTTGGGGCATAGATGGGAATCTAACATGAATAGTTCAAGTTCTGTGATTTGTCTAAATATGCTTATACTCTAAACCTGGGGGAAAGTGGTGTGGCATGTTGACTTGCCTATTGAATACATGTTGGGAATCATTTCCCAATCATAAGACTTCGTCGTATTCTGTAGGATAACTGCAAATGTTCAGAGTAGCTTTTTGAATTTGGTTCCCTTAGCTTTAGGGATGTGATGTTACAATCCAAACTGTTCGACTACCAAAACAGTAAGTCTTCAAAAGCACCTTCCTTTGTTGCTTAGGATTTAAGCTTTGCATCGACTGTTGTTCCAGACCTCAATTCAACTGAACTTTGGTCTATGAACTGGTTTTTAGCTAGCATGCATGAGAAACAGCTTTCGTGTATAATATTTTCTGCTCTGTAACTGGAAAGTTTGGTTTATTTTGCATAAATGTTGGTAAAACTCTTCATGACTATGAGAATTTTCTTTCATTGTATCAAGACAAATGGCTTGTTCTTTGGCAAGCGATTCACAAGGTGGGGACAAATTTGTACTTTAATACGTAGTCCATTCAACCAAATGACTTGACTCTCCTGCTAGATGAAAGAGCAAATGGTGACTAGTTTAGCTCTCTATATTAGTAATACAGTGCACATCAAACATAATGCTCAGTATTAGTGACAAGAGTGTCACTAAATTGGCATGCATCCCTGATGGGGTTTTCCTGTGGCATAATCCATTAAGTCGGTGGCCAGCACTTGCTACCGTGGTTCAGTGATTGTTTAGAAATAAAAGCGCAGGTTTGTTTCTTAACAGTCAATAACAATTTTGAGAGAATGTACTTGTTACAATATATGGACATCATTGGGGTGGGGGGGTAATTTTGCTTCATTCTGCTTATCTCGAATAGGCTTTTGCACTTTCGATGAGAAACCTGTGACTTTAGTCAATTCTTACTAGTTTTGATTTGTATGTAGCTGTAATTTGTGAATCTTAGTGCAGAGGGTCTTAAAAAAAATCACTCAGTCAAAAAGCTGGGGATAAATGGGTTTCAGTAATAACTCTATATACCGAGGTGCTCGCATTGTATTTCATAGTCTTTTCTTGTAATAAACCAAAATTATTTTTAATGAGAATGGTCAGAAGTTCAGAGGTGTGATGCCAGAATGCATTTTCGTACTGTTAGGCCCTTGGAACAGGTACCGGTGCTTTATGAAAGATGAAAGAAATGCAATGGGTGCTCTTCACATAAGGTTGCAAAACCTACAAAGAATGCATAATAGTTTCACTTTTCCCCAATAAAGAGATGCGTGTGACTAGTTTTGGACTTTTAACCTTAATGGGGGTTGCATGTTTCCTATTGTTAATCATTGTCAGCTGCAGTGACATGATACACAGTCCTGCATTTACTGCCTTTCCCTTAATGATTTTGGACAGGTTTTAGAGAGCCAGGATGTTTGTTCTGGGCCTTTATTTGGTTTTGGCTTTAGCTGATAATGTTTCAGTGCTCTGTCAGCTAGTGCAGTTCTCAAATGGCTGCCTATTAGGGAAAGAATTCAGAGGATTTGGCTGCTCCCAATCATCTGTCATTGCTGCTAGATAATGATTGGCAATTTTTAAGACTCAACTGTGGAAAGCTCACAGTTGGTAAACCATCAAACATAAAAATGTTGCTTTTGAACACCAGTGCTGAAAAGATTTATTTGGAGGGTGAAAAAGGGGCTGGATGCAGCATAGGATAATCTGGAGAATGGAGGAAGAATGCAAAACGATATAGTATCCCTTATGGATGGTACATGTGCAACAGGGAACTATTTCATATACCCTTGGCAGTCGCTGATAATCAGGGAGGAAGAAAAACCTGGAATTTGAATTAAGGCTGATCTTTCTGGTTTTTGTGCACTGTGGCCCTGCCAGGCATATATAGTGAAGGTGAATGTCTTCTCCCTCAGAAAAACTCAGGTTCCTTGCTGTCCCGATAAGGCATAGCTTCCCTGCCCTAACTTAAAACTCAGTGAGGACTTACGAGGGAAAGAATGAGGCAAATATATAGGATTGCAGGATAACAACTGCATTGTTGTGTACTGTGGAAGGGGGAGGGCTCTCTTGGTGGACTCCTGCTGAAGGTGGTCAGTCCACCTGAGAATGGAAGACATGCTTGGTGGGGAGCAGGGTACGTGCTTTTATATGAAAAGAGCCGATGTTAAAACTCATTTGGTAAGGTAAACGTTGTCACATACCTTCACATAAGGGATAGTATATTTTGGATTGCAGTCAAACTTCATTGTGGTCAGACTGGTGAAAATGCAGTTAGGCTTTTGTATTTTAAAGAGGATACAGTTCTCATTCGAATTCAGGTGTCTACTGCTACCTTACGTCAGAATGATTTTAGATTTTTCCCCCCATGAAGCCTCTTCCTATTTTTTATGCTGTAACTTGCCCCCAATCTTTGTCTCTGGAATTTACTCTTTAAATTTTGAAATTAACTAGCATTTTCAAATCTTTATGCCCTTGTCTTTTATATTAACATTTTCTTATTATTCTTTAGGTAAGAATGATTGATGTTGGCTGATACTGGAGTGTTCATTCCGTTGAAGTAAGTTTCCTTGGAAGGTTTAACCTGTAGAGGATTTTGGGTTTGACTTCTATTTAATGGTTAAATAATTTGATTTAGCTATGTGGGGTGAAAACTGTTTGACTTTTTTTTAAGGTGTTCGCCTCTCGTAAGATAATACCCTTATTTATTATTTTTTTTTAATGTGTGTGCATGCGTGTGGGTGTATGTGAGTTGGAAAGAGAAAAGATTGGGATTATTTATTACAAAGATGTCAAACAATAGAAGAAAAAGATGAAAGATTTAGATCAGAAAAGAAGGCTTGAATTAGTAGAGACATGTATTTTCAGTACTCTTAAAATGAACTTTGGACAAATTCAAAATCCCATTCCTTTTTACATAATAAATTGTGAGGAACAGTTGTCTAGTCATTGGTAGGAGGGAAAACCTGTTTTCAACAGGTTCATTCAACCTGTTGATGTCAGAATAAAATGTACATGTTAAAAATTAGTAAAAATGTAATATATGCTGAATATGTTATTTTAACACAGTTCATATTTTAATGATAGGTGGATAAGATATTTGTTCTCAAGACATCACACAGCATGAGCTGATCAAGAAGGAAAGCTACAACTTGTTAGACTGATGAAATATCTAGGTGAGTTGAGTGATTCTTACTCTGTAAACTGCCTTCAGGAGGACTCGCGGGTGGTATAAAAATAACTACTCGTGTGGATATCTCAATTTATTCTACATTAAAACTTTCTTACAGGAAATATGTTTTTATAGCACACACTTAAATATTTAAACATTTTTACAGCCTTCTGAGGTGTGGTATTGTCTGTTTGGCTAAAGCCTCACAAAAACAGGAGTTAAGTTTTAAATAAAAATATATATCTGTATTCACCTCTGGGTCCATAAGACCATGTAGAAGAAGGTTCAGAAGATTTGAAGTTCCCTGTTTATCAGATAGTTAAATGGTGGGATTACCTATAGTTGAGAATAGATGGAAGATAAAATAAATATAGATGATGATCTAGAAGGGTTGACAACTCAACTCTGCTGTTCTAGCTGGAAAGCAGTCGTAGACAGATGGACATGACTGTGTTCCAATAAAACTTTTTTACAAAAGTGACTTGTAGATGGTACCTTACTGTCCCTTCATCTTACAGAAATTGCATTCGTTCAAGGTATCACTTAGGTATAAAGGGCTGTCATAATCAGTTTGAAATTAACAAAAACGGAAGGATTGAGGCTATATCTTATAGCTAGAAAGAGGGTGCCAATTAATGGAGTGTCTTGAATGGTAGAGATCTGCCTTGTAAGAAAGTTCTTGTAGAAAATGGAAGTAAAATTTAATAAACTCATTGGGTGAGTCTGATATTAAAATCATTTCTGCTTCTTTAATCCTTAGTTATCTAAAGATCATTAAATACTATTACTACCACATTCCTTGATTAATGTTACTTTGCTGTTAGGAAGTTTACTTGGTTGATGCTGATAAATATTTGAGACCTTGATATGTGATTCTTAGGTCTTTTGGAGTAATTGTTTCCTTTAATTGACAGGATCAGGTGAACTATGTCCCGAAAACCAGTGAGGAAGAGAGCAAAGAGGAATAAACAACCTGTTGTTTAATAAAGACATTTTAAAATCAGATTGTCCTTCCATTTGTTTTGGTTTTGTTTTTAAGTAGAGGACTCTTCCGTTTTCCAGAATTTTCTGTATATGTCAACAACTTGTTTCTAGGTGACATTAAAAAAGTCATTCCATGTTGTAAGTATAAAACTACATAATTTAGGACTCTACTTCTTGAGGCCTTTTTGGCAGAGCTGCTTCAGCCTCTTAATTACTAATCAACCTGATGGCCCTACACTATCAAACTCACCTGATTTAGCCATCAGTATTTTAAAATTGCCTTCAGTCTTAGTAAGTTTTATTCCTGAGATTACCATGTGATTAGCAGTTAAAAAGCATTTTGTATATTACAAAAGGATTATCAGATTACAGTTATGGGTAGTCAGACATTACTTCACTAACGAGTAGAGACTGAATTGCGTCTTGCCAAATAACGATATTTTGGTTACCCTGAGTAGCAATTTCTTTAAAGTGGAGTTGAATTTTATACACAGTGTAAAATTCTGGAATTTGCTATAAAATCTGCTTGCCCCCTCCATTCTTGAAGCTCTCATTAAAACTTGACAAACTGCTAAAGGGATCTTTCACACCAAATTAATATGAGGTGCGTATTAAAAGTAATTCGGGGTTTGCTTTTTGGTGGTTTTTTTTGGTTTTGTGATTTTGGGAGCCGTGCCACATGGCCTGCAGGATCTTAGTTTCCCTGACCAGGGATCATACCTGTGCCCCCCTGCAGTGGAAGCACAGAGTCCTAATCACTGGATCACTGGGGAATTCCCTTGTAACTGCAAAGGGAGAGAGTTGAAAGCCACAGCAGTCACTGGTCCCATGGAATTTGCTTTGAAAAGCTGTGTGTAGTCAGTACCAGGGACGAGACCCAAGATCCTGCTATAAGTGTTCATAATCATTCTGATTATCTGTGATTGGCATATCTTCAGAGAGGCAAATGAGAGATCCCAAATCAAGAATCATCTGAGTCCATGTCTTGGTTCAACTGTTACTCCTTTCTGATTGCCAGCTTGCTTAGCATCTTTATGGGTCTCAAGGCAAAAATCTACAGTATAATGTATTGGTTAGGAGTTACGGGGTCTTGCTACTGGAGTTCAAGTATTCTGAAATTTGCCCAGTTGCATTATCTGGCAAGTTGCCTGAATTGCAGTTTGCTCATCAATAGGATGAACATACTACTTTTTCTTCATTGGGGTAAAAGGTGGGTGTACATAAATGAAGTTGCACGGAGACAAAAACAAAAGGAGCATGTGGCATTTTCAAATAAATTTACTATTCATCAGGTTCACAGGCAACAGGTCCAGGATTTTTATATTTTATAGCGAATAGGAAATTGTTAATTTTGGTAAGCTTTTAGACCGTGGAGTCCACAAGGGGAAATTAGTAATAGATCCTTAGGACTGAGGATTGGGATTCGTGGGAGAGACCATTTAACTTGGACAAGTTGTATATTGGTTTGGCCAAAAAGTTTTTTTTCCATAACCTCTTAACATGATGTTATAATAGGATTAAGAATCCCTGCCTAGGGGCTTACCTGGTGGTCCAGTGGCTAAGACTCTGCACCCTAAATGCAGGGGGCCCAGCTTCCATCCCTGTTCGGGGAACTAGATCCCACGTGCCACAACCAAGAGCTTGCATGCAGCAACTGAAGATCCTGCATGCCATAACTAAGACCCAGTGCAGCCAAAAAAAAATTAAAAATTCCCTGCCTAGCAGGGTTGTATGTTGATTAGTTGGTATTTTAAGTGTGTTGGGGAGTCGAGTGGGGGAGCTTAAGCTCAAAACAAGTCCTCAAAGATTTTTTTTCGGTATGCGGGCCTCTCACTGTTGTGGCCTCTCCCGTTGCGGGGCACAGGCTCCGGACGCGCAGGCTCAGCGGCCATAGCTCGTGGGCCTAGCCGCTCCGCGGCATGTGGGATCTTCCCGGACCGGGGCACGAACCCGTGTCCCCTGCATCGGCAGGCGGACCCTCAACCACTGCGCCACCAGGGAAGCCCCAGTCCTCAAGATTTTTAACAAGTGGTTTATCAGGCATGTAATGTTTTGCATCTAAAGTGGGTTGGGTTCTAAACGTGCTTGAGGTTAAGAGGGAATGAGGGGAAAAAGACAAAGATCCAAATAGAAATACATTCCGTGTTCATTGACATAGCATTCCCCAAAATAATTTACTCATTTAGCATGTTCCAGCTGACTTATTGAAATTGATAACGCTGATTCTAAGTTTCATATGGACCCTTACTTCACACCTATACAAAAGTTAACTAAAAAAGAGTGAAATGCCTAAATGTAAGAATGAAATTATAAAACTTAGATTATTAAATGACACCAAAAACATGAACAACAAAAAAGGCAAATTGGATTTACCAAAATTAATCACTGCTTCAAAGGACATCATCAAGAAAGTGAAAACTCATGGAATGGAAGAAAATATTTGTAAATCATAACTGGTTAGGGACTTGTATCCAGAATATGTAAAAAACCCAATTGAGAAATAGGCAAAGGATTTAAATAGAAATTTCTGCAAGGAAGCTATACAAAAATGCCAATTAAGTACATGAAACGTTGCTTGGCATCATTAGTCAATAAGAAAGTGCAGGGAATTCCTTGGTGGTCCAGTGGTTAGGACTCTGAGCTTCCACTGCAGGGGTCCTGGGTTTGATTCCTGGTCGTGGAACTAAGATCCCAAAAGCTGCTCGGTCTGGCCAAAAACAAACAAAAAAAGCAAATCAAAACCCTGAAATACCACTTCAAACTTTCAGCTATAAGATGAATGTCTGAGGATCTAATGTATAACATGGTGACTCTAGTTACCAACACTGCTTTATAGAATTGCCTCGGTCACTTGATAATCAAAATTGCCTTCACTAGTTCAGCTGTCTTCGTCATATACTAGATTTCTTTATATATCTGGCCCAGTGAACTATCCATTCCTACATAGATGTCATATTTTAAATTTCATTGCTTTATATGAGTTCCAGTTGTTTTTTTTTTCTAAAGAAAAGATTTTCTTTGGTTTTCTATGGACTCATTTTATTTAGTGGAATAAGTATATACATCTTAGGTTTCTTCAGAGAAACAGAAGCAATAGGTTATACACACACATATATATTTTGGGGGGCATACTTTTGATTAAAAAGCAAAATATACCTTCCACATATTTGGAGGAAAACCAACTAACTAGCATTAAGGAAGAACTGAGCAGATACTAATAAAGGTAATAAAACAAGATGGGTGTAAAAGCAAAGGTCTCTGGGGCGTGAAAGTGGGTAGTCCATGGAACTGGTATAGACTTCTACCAAGAGACATACTGATGGACACTCAGGTGGAGTCAAGAGAAAAAGAAGAGAGGGCTTTTGGTTTTGTATGCATATATAAATTTAAACATGCGTGTTGGAGAACTTTCAGGGTATTGGAGCTGTGCTGCTTCTCCTGAGAACTCAAGTAATGTCATTTTAATTAATAAAGCACATAATTGTATACCCACCTTGTTTTGACTGTTTGCTATTTTGTAAGTATCACTGCATGAAGAAAACCTTGAACTAAAGAAAAGGGGCAAGGAGGCTCACAGGGAGGCTCACTACCACTGTCCCATGTGAGCTGGCCTGGGATTGTAGTAATCTAGAAACATTTTTCAGCGTGCTTATTGCCCTTGCCATCTCCCTAGAAGATTTTGCCTGCCTAAAGAGGGAGCAGAATGAAGAGTTAACACCATTTCCTAGATATAAGAATGGATTGAGATAAGAAGTTTACTTTCAATACTTTGCTACTTTTTAACGTTCCTAGTAGATGGTAAGCACTCGGGAAACTGGTAGATACTTAATACTGATAAGTTTAATTTGGCATTGCATACATTCTAACTCCTCTGCCTTCCTTCTGCTTAATTGAACTCATCTGCCAAAAATCAAAGTCATGATAAAATCCAATTCTCTGTCTAATCCATATACATTGACTGTCTTTAAAGTCTGCTTACTGATCTCTAGGGATCCCTTTTTGCTGCCCAGCAATCACAAGATTTTCATCTTTATTAAATTCTATTTCATGCCGTATCCTCTTTCTTCAAAGCTCCAATGCCTCTTCTTTCATCCTCATTTTCAGAAGATGACCTTTTCTGTTTCACTGAGAAAATAGAAACACTCAGAACTTTCACAAGCTTCTACAGTCATATCTCCCCACCTACCTACATCTGTATCTACATATTCCTTTTTTAAAAAAAATTTTACTTATTCATTTTGGCTGTGCCGGGTCCCAGTTGCATCATGTGGGATCTTCGTTGTGGCATGCAGGATCTTTAGTTGTGGCATCTGGGCTCATAGTTGCAGCATGTGGACTCTTAGTTGCGGCATGCATGTGGGATCCAGTTCCCTGACCAGGGATCGAACCCCAGCCCCCTGCATGAGGAGTGCAGAGTCTTACCCACTGGACCACCAGGGAAGTCCCTGTACCTACATATTCTTTTTCTTCTGTTATAATGGATGAACTGTCCATATTTCTAGCTGAGGCCAACTTCTCCACCAAAGAGGATGGCAAATAACCACATGGAAATATTCCCAACATCATTACCTTAAGAGAAATGCAAATTAATGGGGGTATATCTATCTATCTATCATCATCTATCATCTTATCTCCAGTGGGATATAACTACACACCTATCAGAATGGCTAAAATAAAAAGTAGTGACAACATCAAATGTTGCAAGGGATGCAGAGAATCTGGATCGCTCATACATTGCGGGTGGAATGTAAAATGGTACAGCCACTTTGGAAAAATAGTTTGGCATTTTTTTTGGTTGGTTTCTTTTTTATACCAGCAATTTTTTTTTGTTTTTTTGTTTGTACCAGCGATGGTACTGCTGTGCATTTAGACTAGAAAAATGAAAATTTATGTTTACACAAAAATCATGTATACAAATGTTCATAGCAGCTTTATTTGTAATAGTCTAAAACTGGAAACAATCCAAATGTCCTTCAAAGCGTGAACTGTAAAAAGAAAAAATAGTGAACTGTTAAACAA